AGATTTTGGCCATCGAAATTTTGTCTATGTCGGGATTTAGCCTGTCGGGATTCTAGACTGTCGGGATTTTGGATATCGGGATTTTTGGGTAGAACCCATAACAAAAGCTTGACATGTATTTCTACTTCCACATCTCTTATCCCTACACCTACCCCTACATGTATTTCTGTCGGAGGCACATGTGTTTCGGGAGGTTGCTGTCTAGATTCAGTCGGCTGTTTATGTGTACCACCTGCTCCTTGTGTATGCGCTGCATGATGACAAAAGAAATTATTAAAAACTATACCAATATGCCAGAAAGTCTAATCTTGTTATAGAATTTATATAATTTTCTCTACACAATCACTTTCTGACAATTATTTTCTTGGCATGTCATGCAAAAATTGAATTTGTAATAATTTAACTGTTAACAAAAATAACATCACGAAATTGTTCTTATGTAGAATTATGTAGAATTTTATATAGAATTATGTAAAATTTCTTATGTAGATTTATAAACCCAATATAGATTTACATAGTTATTTATATAAGTTTATATATAGTTCTATAAATAACTAAAATTTTTAACTTATATTAAAGCTAGAATTGGATTTTAAAGCTTAAAATTAAAGGTTTGGGAAGATCTTCTAGAATTCTAAACATTTCACTTTATATCAAACATTAATTTCCTTAGTCACTCTTGAGAAATAGTCAAAGTAAATTAAATTAACATTCTATATATATAATAAAATTTACAGAGTTTATAAAAATAATAAATAAAATTATATAAAAAATTACATAGTTTATATATAAAATTCATACGTATTATATACGTCTCCATTGGATTTGTGAATTTATTAAATCGGGTTTCATAGCATAAAATTTTTAAATGCGACCCAGCAACCCGACTCTTGATTTTATTTTCAAAATATTTAATATAAAATATATATATATAATTTTTATAAATTTTTTTTAAAAAAACTTGCCCGGATAGTAAATTACTTTAACATCATCGTATGGTCTTTCATTTTTAAATAAATTATATTTAAATTTTAACTTGAAATAAAAAATCAAACAATAAAATAAACTTGGTAATTTACTCTAATACTAATATTTAACATACACGTTATAAAAATGCAATCATGCAAAAAACCACAGAAAAGTTGTCATTACCTCCGCTGGTTTTCCATGAATCATTTGCCACTATCCTTCACAAATTATAAAATTTTTGAAAATAACTAAATGCTTTATATTCGCATTGAAATATTGTAAATAATCCATATTTGTATATTTTTCGATAAAAAATAATTTCATTATGTTTATTAATTACAGCTTTAATTCATTTTGATAATATCCATGACTAACTATTTTACTAGTGCTATATTAGCACGTTTTTGATAATAAATGAACGCTTTATATTCATCAATTTCAACCCCAATTCCATAATGATAACAATAACCAACTTGATATATTCCATTAGCATTATTCATATTAGCGGATTTTTGATAATAAACGAACGCCTTATGTTTATCCTTTTCAATTCCAATTCCATTTTCGTAACAATATCCAAGATTATACACACCACTAGAATTACCCATATCAGCAGATTTTTGATAATAAATGAACGCTTTATGTTCATTTTTTTCAACACCAATTCCATGATTATAACAATAACCAAGCCAGTTTATTCCACTATCATTACACATATCAGCAGATTTTTGAAAATAAATAAATGCTTTATTTTATGTTTATCCTTTTCAACTCCAATTCCATAATAATAACAACAACCAATTTGACGTGTTCCATCATAATCACCTATATCGGCACATTTTTGATAATACATGAATGCTTTATATTCATCCTTTTCAACTCCGATTCCTTCTTCATAGCAATATCCGATATTATAGATTCCATTAGAATTACCCATATCGGCAGATTTCTTGTAATAAATGAACGATTTATTTAAGTTCTTTTTAACTCCAATTCCGTTTTCATAACAATACCCGAGCCAGTTTATTCCACTAGCATTACCCATATTAGCAGATTTTTGATAATAAATGAATGCCTTATGTTTATTCTTTTCAACTCCTATTCCATGTTCATAACAATAACCAAGATTGTTCATTCCTATAGCATAGCCCATTTCAGCTAATTTTCGGTAACAATTTAATGCCTTATTATTATCTTTTTTAACTCCAATACCTTCTCGATAACAATCACCTAAGGATTCGAATACATACGGATCATCCATATCTGATGATTTTTGATAACAAATGAATGCTTTATGATGATCTTTTTCAACACCGATTCCATATTGATAATAACTACCGAGATTAAATATTCCATTAGAATCTCTCATTTCAGCTGATTTTTGACAATGAATAAATGCTTTATAATTATCATTTTTAATCCATTTTCCACGACGATAGCAAGATGCAAGAAGGTTTTGAATTATAGGATTTGTTTGATTATTCAAGAATGAGTTGATTATTTCTTCTGGTTTTTGCTGCTCATTTACTAAATACTGTTCCATTAAGTAAATAATTGAGTCATAATAATTTCCTTTCATAATTTCTTTATTATATAAATCACATAATTCTTTGATAACTTTATTTAGAAAATCCTGTGAATCACAATTCTCTCGCTTTGACGTATTAACGACTTTATCATTATTAATAGTGTTTTTTATTGACGATTCTGTAGATGGATTATTGTAAATGACTGGCAGACTTTTTTCATTAGACATGATGAGATTAATTATAAAGTATGTACGTACGTATTATGTATGAATTTATCATGATTAGAAAATTTACTGTTATACAAAGATTCTGTGATATGACGCACAAGTAGGAAAAGGAGTATTTTTAACGAAAATCACACGCATGTGATCTAATTATGCACTCTAGCTGGATATTAAACTTTATAAAATTGCTTTAACATTAAAGAAATATATTGGATATATCAGTGCATTTGATGTATATTTATACTAGTACTTGTAGCATTAGCCGATGGTTTCCACATGCAATAAGCAGGCCGGCTGTTAACTAGAAGTTTGTAGTCAAATTAACGATGCTACCACTGTTCGATGGTTTCCTAACCACATATTGCGGGCCGGCCGAAAATTTGAAGGATCTACAAAAATGACAGGACCTACGATGGGAGGATGGGCCGGGTGTGAATATTGCTTACCTTTACAAGGCAGTTGTCTGGTTGCTTTATTTTACCCGACCTTTTTATATATGTACATTTGGTTACGTAGTATTTACCTCATTCCAACCCGAATAGGTCATTGATTAAATTATTCTTGCCCGTTCCCCTTGCAGCGTACCGGATTTATTGTCAGGTTAGTTATGTGATTATCAACACGCCAACGCATCATTTTCAATCTTTCAACCTTGAATGAAGATAGCGTTTATTTAGTATATACTATATATAATTATTTTATTTGTACAATGTATATATTTTTGTTATCGCTATATATTTATAATTTAATTTCTTACATTTTAATGCATCCATTTTAGGTAATTTCAATTCGGCCGCAAAATTAGTAATGCTTCTAGGAAGGGTTAGCTTTAAGCGTGATATTTAATAAAACTTTAAATCTTTGATTTATGCTCTGTGTCGTAACCTGGTCCCGAACCATTGATTTAAGTAACGACCTTTTCGGCACAAATTTTATAGATTTAGTTGTTGATGTAATTTAGGGTAGGTCGAATTTTCACTTTATTGTATTGTACTAGTTGTATTGACAATTGGTCATTTTACTGTATAGTGCTGCCTGCAGCATCCGTTGGTCCTTATATAGTAGACCAAATCATAATCTATTCAGCTATAAATACCAATATTTTTGAAAAATATCTCAAATAAATTTTTGATATAGTATAAACTATCAATAGTCTGCTCGTTCCTCATATATTTCTGACTAATGGGTTTCAAAATTAATAAATAAGTGACACATTTCAAAAATAAGTACTATTTTTACTAAGGTCATTCAGAGTTAATGATCAGGTTTTTTGATTTTTGAATTAGATTAGTAGAGTATTTGATTTGAAATAAGTGATTTATAAATTCCTCTTTTTTTTTCTTTTTTTTTATATGATAATATATTACATATTATCAGAAAAATAACCCTATTTCTTGTTCTGGTTTCGGAATTTCAACTCCCAATTATTTTTTTGAAAAATTTTAATTCTGAATCGCTCTACTATGTTGAACTATAGAATCTGATTTTAATTTTGAACCCCTAAATGGGGGTTTCAAAGTTAACAAATAAGTGATGCATTTCAAAAATAAATAGGATTTTTTCAATAGCATTTTTACTATGTTGAATTATAAATCGGAAAAATAAAATAAGATTCTCTGATTTTAATTTTGAAACC